AATTAAGGAACAAAGATATATTAAGCTAGTAATCTCAATTTTTCTCTGATCAGATGTTTTCCTTAAGATCAGTACACATCAGCTGAAAAAGCTGAATTCTCCCGATTCCTTCCTCAAGATCCCCTGACTCTATATAAAATCCCTGCTCCACAGCGCAGAGTCCAGAGAAACACAAAATGCTGCAATTTGCACAGAGCAGATTTCCCCATCTTTCTTGGCATAATACAGTTTTTAAATAACCAAAACACAGAATGGCCAGTTCACACATTCAGTTCAGTCGCCGCTGCGGTGTGTAAAATACAGAGGCTGCAACACAGCCACAATCTGCCATCAGCTTCCACAGAGCAGTTTCTGAATTACCTTAATTTTATTGATTTTATTAATTACCTTAATTTTATTGATTTTATTAATTACCTTAATTAATCTTATTTATAAGATTAATTAAGATAGGAGAGAGAGGGTAGCATCGGCAAATATGGATCTTTTAACAGCTTCCCTGCTACTCTAATTTGTAAACTACCTAACAACATACTTGGCAGCAGTAACTGAAAGATTCCTGAAGTGGCATAGGCTAGAAGTTATCTGGGATATTTCCCCTATGGAAACCTTTAGGGGAGGTGCAGAATTATGGGGTGAGGGACTCAGCACTATCAACCACTTGCTCTTACACTCTTCTGTGCCAGTTCATCAGCCAGCTGCTCGTTGGCTCTTGTTTTATCTTCTACTTCTTGGGATTTCTGGTCATAATTGACAGCTAATTCTTCCAGGGCTTGAAGGACCTCTTTCACTTCATCTTTTGCTGCTTCATTCTCAATCTGAAGACGGGTCAGCTCCTCTTGAATCTTCTCATAATCTCTCCTAGTGGAAGCCAAAAGCTGAAAACCAGATATCACAGAAGTGTTAAGTCATCTAAGAACTCACTCAAAAGACAACATTGAAAAGGCCACAAAGAGACAAAGAGAGAAAGAAAGTATGAGCACGCAAGCGTGTGCGCAAGAGAGAGGAAGCAGGAGAGAAGAAATCCTGCTACTCTATCAGGAACAGCATAAATGTATTTGAAGGAAGCAAAAAAAGCCTCTGAACTTCAATGAAAAGAAAAATATCTTAATCAAATCCTATTATGACACAAGACCGAGGCAGAGAAACTTATTTTAAGCAGTATCATTGCTCCAAAGAGATTTTCTGCCCTCAATCCAATGCTGCAGTTCGGCCCCAAAAAATAAATACCACAAAGTAAAATGTTTAAACACAGAATCACAGCTTTGAACTGAACCAAGTGAAAGGGCTCTCTGAGGCAGCCTCAAAGACCTGGTGGCAATGGAGGAATATTTTGATAAGCAAACCTATGATGATTATTCTGGGTTATCATCTGAAGCATGATGCTGAAGACAGATTAGCTGCTAGCTCCTTATCTTTGCTGAGGCAAAATATTAACTAAAGAAGAAAATACAGACTTCACACATACTAGTGAGTATTTCCAACTTGTAGAACTTATTAAATTTACTCTTTGCATGCTACTAGGAGAGATGCTAAAATTTCAGTGACTAAGAGGTCAGTCGTATGGTCCTCTCCCTTGCCCTTGCACCACTCTATCTTCATGTAGATGTTAAAAATTCAGCTATTGGGGTCTTAGCTCAAAACCAGCCTCAAGAGCAGTCAGGTACTGCAGAATGATGTGAAAATAAAGAAAAGGTGCCACCTAACATCTACTGCTGATTTTGTACTTTTGAGAATAATAAGAATAATAATAATGAGGAGAAGCCATATGAGGAGAGGCTGGAGTCACTTGGTTTGTTCAGCCTGGAGAAGAGGAGACTGAGAGGAGATCTCCTGGGGGTCTAGAACTTCCTCCCAAGGGGCAGAGGAGGGGCAGGCGCTGATCTCTTCTCTCTGGCCACCAACGAATGCCAGGAGCAGAGGGAATGGCAGGAAGATGTGGCAGGGGAGGGTGAGGTTGGCCATGAGGAGAAGGTTCTTGAGGCAGAGGGTGGTGGAGCCCTGGAACAGGCTCCCCAGGGAGGTGCTCATGGCACCAAGCCTGACAAGATTCCAGCAGCATTTGGCCAAGGCCCTCAGGGACATGGTGTGAATGTTGGGCTTGTCCTGTGCAGGGACAGGAGTTGGACTCCATGATTCTTGTGGGTCCCTTCCAGCTCACAACATTCGATGATTCTCTGAAAATCAGGACTTAACATTGCATAAAAACATAAAATATAGAACAAGAACATATAAAACTAGTGAATGAGACACAAGAAGGCATTCGGGCTCACCCTAACAGCAAAGTCTGAACACTGATTCACAGAACTCACTTGTTTTCAAGCCTTCTCCTACGTATGGATTTGTGTAACATTAGTCTACTGTAATTCTCCTGTTTAATTGTATTACTGTGTAATTAAACTACTGTAGAACAAAATCTGCCCTACTGAAGCATGCTGGGTGGACTTCTCCTGACCTGCCCCACCACTGCCCAATGGCTCCCAGGCCATGAAGAAGTTGAGTGCGAGACCCCAAGTGAAACAGAAACATCTCTCTAAAATGGACCACCTAAAAGGAGAGATGTCAGAGAAGACACTGGGTTTTTTTGGCTCAGAGTGCTAATGGAAAATAGGAAACCAACCAGGCAGCTTCAGACACTGGCACACACCCAAAGTGGTAAAGAGAGGATTCAGATGTAAGGGAAATTTATCTCGTTGGTAATGCTGCAGCCTCAGAAGTGCACTCACGTTACAGAAAAACCCACTGAAATGCCAATGCCAGATGGCATGTAAATATTTAAACAACAAAATAGCTTAAAATAATCTTTCTACTAAACACAGATGGAACTATTATTTACATTTACTTCAGAAATTTTCTCTGTGAATATTACTGTGACTTCAAGTAAAGGGAAGTGTTGTGTATCACCTAGAGTATAAACACAGCTCCCCAGAAGATTCTTGTTGATATAATGTAGGAAAATATACCAAGATTTTAAAAGGCTATTAATAACACATTATATCAATCAGCTGTAAACAAAGGGAAGGAGACAACGGCTGCAGCACTTCATGGATCTGTTCACAGCATGTGAGATACAAGAGTGGAAGATCCAGAATCCTCCCCAAAACATACACCCTAAGAAGCAGCCAGCGGTGAGAAAAGGTACCAAAAGACATCAGTATCAGCACGGTGCCATCTGTGGCAGGCCTTAGATTTCTAATTAACCTGCTAGCTTAATCAAGCAGAAAAAAGTACTCTGGTTAATTAGGAGGAAGCAGAGTGAGGCAGCTGCTCTGCAGCACATATATCACAGAGCTAATCACAGCTCTAAGAGAGAACAGGCACATCACTCCTGCAGCACAGGTGAAGCTTACGTGGGGAAGGTAAAACCTTGAAAAATTAATTCAATTCCCTTAAAGAAGAAATATCACATTAGCTTGCAAAGGTAAGAGATGGACAAGCTTCTCAGATGAACCAGCAAAGCCTTCTGAACAAGTGGTGATACATCAGCTGCAGAGACTTCAGTAGATCAGCAAAGCTAGACTAGAACATGTACAAAAGAGGGAAAAAGGACTAGAGGGCAAGGACTAGAGGTCACTGAAAACTTGATTCCTCTTCCAGATGTAATATTGAGTATGGAACATAAAGAGGGTGGGGAGTAAGCCACCATACAGCATGCTCCCAAATATCTAACACAAAGAAAGGGATGCACATCACCCAAAAAATAAAGACAGAAGGAAAACCACTGCAGAAAAAGAAACTTTAGATGAGAACAATGATGTACAAAAGATGGGAGAAGTGAGATGGTGTAAATAACACACATCATAAAAACATATCGCTGAGAACACATAAAGTTCTGCTACATTTGCTTACCCATGGACATGGGTAGCATGTAATCCAGGGTAATTAAAAGAAAGTTGCAGCAAGTGAATGAAGAGTTTAATCAGGGAATAAAATAAAGCTGGTAATTCCTTCAATGAGTGTAAGACCCCAAAGGTGGCAGGTACATCAAGAGTGACAAGTAATGGACATTTTCAGAAGTTGTTCTCTCTCTGTTAAGGAGCTAAACCCCAGAAACCCTTTCTGAGGGTTTGGATAAGGATTGAAGCATGGACAGGATAATTTTTCTATTATAAGAGAGGTTTCACACCCAAAAAAAGCAGCCAGCATAATGCTGTGCTCCAACTGACATGGCTTGTGCCATGGCATGTGAAGGCTCCTTCTCCAGTTTCCCACAGTTTGAAAACCAGCATAAAACCATCTTCTAAGAAATATCAAAGGAACGAAGTAATTTGGTGTTATTGCCAGATTTTACATCTTCAAAACCTCTTGTAAACAACTGACAGGTAAGAAAATGACTTTACTGTAAGTTTAGTGATCATGTTTCCCCATCTTAAAAACCACTTTTATTTTACAGACAGAAACAATGAAACAAAATGTTTAAAGTGAGCAATCCAAGATTTTAAAGCAAGTCTGTAGCAGCACCAATAATCAAATTTTCAGTCTCAGAGATTTCTCCCACTACTGTCTCCAACTGCCAAAATAACAAACGTCAGTAATTTATTACCAGGAATAATTTTACTAGGAAATCTGTTCACCACCTAGAGTCCATAGTGCCAGGATACAGACATATTGAAAAACACATTTTAAGTGAAACACATTGGCCACGCTCCTACCTTGGTACTTCCAGCATCACTTCCCAGCAGGATGACATGCTGTCATAAGGAGTTATCAAGGCTTAATGTTCTGAGATTATGTCATAAGGAGTTATCAAGGCTTAATGTTCTTCTGAGATTGTGATTAAATTTGAAGTTTAAACCTAGCTGTCACACAGGTTTCTCTTTCCTATTGAATTTTAGCCAGTTCATATGAGTTTAAACTGCTTAACTGCTTGAGAGAGTCCAGCACAGAGCCACCAAGATGATGAAGGGAGTGGAGCATCTCCCTGCTGAGGAAAGGCTGAGGGAGCTGGGGCTCTTTAGCTTGGAGAAGAGGAGACTGAGGGGTGACCTCATTAATATTTATAAATATGTCAAGGGTGAATGTCATGAGGATGGAGCCAGGCTCTTCTCAGTGATGCCCAATGGTAGGACAAGGGGCAATGGGTGTGAGCTGGAACACAGGAGGTTCTGCTTCAACTTGAGAAGAAACTTCTTTCCAGTGAGGGTGCCAGAGCCCTGGGACAGGCTGCCCAGGGAGGGTGTGGAGTCTCCTTCTCTGGAGACATTCAAGACCTGCCTGGACGCCTTCCTGTGTGATCTCATTGAGGTTCCTGCTCTGGCAGCAGGATTGGACTGGATGATCTTTCGAGGTTCCTTCCAATCCCCGACATTCTGTGATTCTGTGATTATCTAGCCAACAACTGTGACAAAATCACTAAACAAGGGTCTCATAAGCAAAATGTAAGGGGTTTTTTGATTTGTATAGTTTTTTTACCTCCTCTTGATCCAACATTTGTTGCTTTAGTTTTTCAGCCAACTGGCTCTGCTGGTTGATTTCATCATCCTGCAACGAAATAGGGTTGGAGATGTTTTAGTTTATATTCACAGTTCTCATTTGGTCACTTTTATTTCCCCTTTCTAGAAAAGAAGCAAGAACAATGTCATAGCAAACCATGTGCACGTTTGAGTAGTACAAGAGGAGAGAAAAACAGACATACACAGAGCTACTTAGTAAAAACAATGCATACATGCAGTTGTCTTTAGTATATACCTAAGAAAAGGTGTCCCTGATAGTAAACAAGACAGAGTTGCACCTTATAACTTGCAGGAGGACTTTGCCAACACGTCATGTTTTACAGATGTACAAATATATACACACACTCTCTTTCTCTCTTCCTCTGTCCCCAAATTTCAGCTGAAGAGAGATCACTGGAGATGGATTTATTAACCAACTACAATTTACAGCTAGCTCTGAACCGCAGGAATGAAAGAGGAAGCTCAAACCATAACACAGGACTTGGACCCCTCAACTACAGAATTTCTCTTTTCCTACTCCATCACAGCCCTTGAAGAAAACACTGCCAGGTAATGCACAGCCAGGCATCCCATTTTACTGACATTTCAAATTCCTTGTTAAGATAGCAACCTCACGGGTAGGGACTGATCTTAAATATAGAAGAGAGATGACGACGATGATGATGGAGTCTGCTGTACAAGCCCTTCCTCTAGAACACCACAGGAAGCACCCAAAGCACAGCCCTGACCACGTCCATCTCTGTTCTTGTGTTGGACATCCTTTTCTAAAGGAACTCACCAAAGATAAATGGTTGCTTTTCACCCTATCAGAGCCAACTGCTATTTTGTGTTTCACTGACAAGCATGTTAATAGATCGATTTTGACCAGCAAATATAGCTATCAAATAGAATATATCAAATCATTTGCTAGTATTAAAATAGTCCCAGATATAACATAAAAATTATCTCCACTGTAACAAGTTGTAAATGGTGATATTTTGGTTTTGTCTTGGGGATCAAATACCTTCTCATTTCCTATAGTACTGCACAGAATTATGCTTCCCATGTTTTCTAGGGCAAAATTCAAACCTGCTGCCAGTTCCCTCAAGAATAATTCAATGGGCTTTGCTACTTCTGAGGGTAAGTGAAAGAATGACTGACTATTTTTCTTTTTCTGATCAATATGTCAAAGCTAGAGACCACTACCAGCAATGTATTCTCCATCACAGAAAAGCTGTAATTTCTACAAGACCTTAACTGTTATTTTGAATGCCATCAGCATACTGCTGTGTGCAAGCAGATTCATAGAATCCCAGACTCATTTGGGTTGGAAGAGACCTTAAAGCTCATCCAGTTCCAAGCCCCCTGCCAGCAGCAGGGACACCTTCCACTAGACCAGGTTGCTCAAAGCCTCATCCAGCCTGGATGTCCTCAGAGTCCTCACACACATCAGGGTTAAGGCTTAAACACAACTCTCCCCTCCCTCCCTCCCTTGGGATTCAGAAACAGCCAAACTTTAATATTAACATACAAGGAAACAGTGGACTTTTTTTTCTGATATTTTACTGCTAATCACAATTTAAAGTTAAAATCAAGTTTTGATTTATCATTAAAGCTATCCTGAGAACTTTTGCTAGATAGCCTTTGCAGCTGTTCTCATCCAGCTCAATGGTTTTAGTATGCTTTTTTTTCCCCCCCACTTCTTATCTTCACACAAGCCAAAGCTTTTAACAGGAAGTGTTCAGTAAATGTATTGCTGAGAGCTTTAAGTGCCAATGATGCATTTCAAGCTGTGCAAATAAATAAATAAATAAGCCACCTGCACTCCAGGCAGTGTGTTCACAGCTAGAACAACATGAACAAAAGAGACCCAAGGGATGGTTATATATTTTCCTTAAAATTCTGATCTACAATAAATATATTAAAAATATTCAGATACAGTCTCCCTTTTTTTTCTTTCCATGTAACTCCAAGATGACGTTACACTTTGCTGAGGCAGCACAGTATTTACAAAAATCACTGAAGACAAGGAGTGCTGAAAAGCCTTTATCCAGCCCTTAAAATGAAAGGCAAACCTGGCTCTGATTTCATGGAGAATGTCCACAAACACTGTCTGCAGAGGGAACAGAAACAGTCAGCTGATGTGACAGGACAACACCTGGTTTTATGCAGTGACAGTGTTTTGAACTTTGGGACATTTTCTAGTTCATGGTGCTCAGGAAATACAGAGGGACACCCACACATTTTGGGTTAGTTTTCCATTTACACCCAGAGAATGGAGTCAAACCACAGGCTCCCACCTTATCATCCAGCTGTCTGTAGAGACTGGCAATCTCCTCATCGTATTTCTGTTTCTCCTCTGTCGAGATGCTGGCAACAACTGGTGTGATGTTGTCAATAATTGGGGTGTTATCACAAGGCTCCAGGTTCTTCTGGTCCTTTGCACTGATCTGTTCATCTTCAGGCACAGCTTCTCCTGCAGGCACAAAACCCATGGTCATTACAACCCAAGAGAGAGGGTTGACCAAAACCATGGACGTCCTAGGATGGTTCTTCACAGTTGCCAAGAGGGACTCAGCAAAGGAAAGAAGGGCTATATCCTTGGCAGCTGCCACGTGTGCAGGCCAAGCTAGATGTGGAAGGATGGCCCTTCATCCTCCACTGTTAGAAACACAAGCACACAAAAGGCAGTTTGCCATTAAAAGCACTGAACTCCCAGCTCCCCTTTCACTCAAGCCCTCTAGAGATGGGATAAATTCCATGGATTAACAGAAGTGTAAATAAGGAGGAAAAAAAATCTGACTTTCAGCCTAAAGCCTACTGGCAATTAAATGTCTCTTCCTCTCCAGATTTCCAACTACCTTATCAACTCTCCTTCCCCACTGCTAATGAACTGCTAGAGCAGCAGGACAACAAGTAAGACAGCTGCATTTCAACTGATATTCACCTTCTGCCTTGTTTAATCTAAAATTAAAGGGTAGACACCCATTTTCAGACGTGGCCTATGCATACCTGCTCCGATGTTATCCCTACACATTTTCTTTCAAAACCATTTTCTCTAAGGAATATTTCCTTTGGTAACATCGACGTGTTACAATCACGAGCCTGCTGCAGTTCAGTGAAGAGGGACAGGCAAGGTGCTTATGCCAGAAATTCAATCTACTCTCATTAGAGTCTGATGAGAGACTCTGTGAGCCGCTGAACACGTTGTTCAAGGCACGGGAAGGTGACACCCAACCCTTCTGCACAAACAGGAATTCACCTTTTCTATGAAGAGCTCCAATATTTTAGTCCCATAAAGCTTTACTAGCCATCCCTCTTGTCAAAACAGTGTAGGTATTATTTCTCTGACTGGCAGGGAAACAAGTAAAAAGGACAAATATATATAAAAAAATAAAAAAAATAAGGAGGCTAATTCAGATCCAAAAGCAAAACAAAACAGGGCATGAAAGAGCACGACCAACTAATGGAAGAGGTAATTTTTTCAAGCTTGAAGCATGAAAAAGAACTTGAAATCAAGTACCATAACCTCTATAAAAGCACTTCACTCAAAAGACATTTTGCCCTGCTTCTAATAGCTTGATAATAATTCACATTGTTAATGAGAAAAATGTAAATGGATTTTTCTTTGTTGCATTTCACTGCAGCAGACTAGGAAAGGTGGGCTCAGTCAGCCCGTGGGGACCTTGCACATACAGCAACGCTCCTCAGGCTGCAGAGAATCCACCAAGAACCTCCCAAAATGAATCTTTAGATTTTCATTTCATTGTGGTATTTCACTTAATTTGGAAGCTTTGTATGGCAGACAACCCAAGTGAAAGGAGGAGGGGAGCCTGAATTTGATACAGATGCTTGGATAACAACAGACCTCCTATCTGTAAAACACAGACCAAACTGTGCACTTGGACACAAGGCTGCTGAAATCCCTCTTCAGAGAGAGCAGGGCACATCCATTTTCTGCTACAATTTTATTCTATTATTTTCTACATATCTAGAACAAGCTATACTGAGCAAATATTTATGCATCTATCTTTTATTCCATATTCAAGATGCAATTTCTATGACACCTCCATTTGTAAAGAGCCTCCTTTGACAGAACATCCTCCTAAATGATGCTATTTCAGAAGGTCAGGGAGGAAATCAATAGCATTTTGAATGCATTGAATGTATTGCTGGGTAACACCAATAAGAAAAGCAGGACAGATGGAGGGGAAGAGGAGGTGTGTATATTTAGACAAAACAATAGAGACAGCATCTGATAAGGCTTTTTTATATGGCATAGAGAAAGGATCTATATGGGGTTTTCTTAAAAAAAAAGGTGTTTCTAGAACAGGAAGGAAATTAAAGTCATCACATTTAGCAAACACAGAATGAAAGAGGCAGAACATGAGCGGGCTGTAAATCCCCAGCACTCCTCGACACCACCAGCAGCCCGACCGTCTCCATAGCAATTGCTCTCTGCTGATAAGGGAAATATTCCCTGGGCTGAAGTCTCCAGAGAAAGACACGGAGCGCAATCATTAGGTAACCATCTCATCTGAAAGGCAACTAGACAGCACAGGGAGCTGAAAGAAGGAGGCAATTTTTTTGCACCCACAAAGGTCAGGTGTTATTTTTTAAGCAGTGATTTCACTCAGGATGTTCTGAACCAGACTTGACTCCGCAAAACAAATTGTGACTAATAATTAAATCACAGATTTGTTCTCTCTTTAGATACTTCACATCTGCAAGAGTTATGTGCTATTGAACTGTGAAACACATCAAGATGTAGGAACTGGCTGTCAAATAATCTAGAAAATAAAAATGACTCTGAAGAAGCAGTATTTTACTGTTGGGGGTCTGCTGGGATGCCAGGGTGCAAGGGGGTGTAGGGTTGGTTTGTTTGGGGGGTTGTTTGTTTGTTTGTTGCTTCTTGGGGGGTTGGTTCAGGGGTTTTGTTTGTTTGTTTGGGTTTCTGTTTAATATGTGGAATAAAAATGAAGAGCAAGGATGGTTTGCTAAAATTAGCTGTCTACATTCCAGTTTAAATATTTTTTTTAAATTAATATGTATGCATAGAAATATTCTTCCTCCACTGCCAACATGCATTTGATTTTACAACCCACCCTGAACAGCAATTTCCTATGTTTCTAAACAGAAAATTGACTGTTCTCAACATAAATTTCACTTAGAAGCAACAGAAGGAGACAAGTGGTGATTATTCTCATCAGATGATACTCCTAATCACTGTACTAAAGGACTAATTATTCTAATGTTAAACTCAATTATTAAAAAAACCCCAAGATCTAGTTACCTTAAAGCATAATTGGAAATGATTCTCATGCCTGAGGAGCAGAGTACTTTTAAAAAAAAAACAAAAACCAAAACCACATAATGGCATTTTACTTTTTCTTTATTAATATTACTAATATTATTAAATATTATTGATGCCTTCCTATGTTCTCTGCATCTGATACTACACTCGTGTGGGTATTTCAAATGGTACCTTCTGTAAATGGCTGCTGCTGGTTTCCCTGGTTTTTGCTTTTTTCACCTTGCAGTTTTTATTCTGAAGCGTGAGCTACAGCTCTGAATGGTGAGGTTAGAGTTAGTATGACCACAGTGATTTTGGGCAAGATTTAAGCATATGTAACTTAAAAAGAAAATAAAACTAGAAAGACTTGTCCCCATTCCCATTTCCTAGTACGTACCGTTTCTCCACCTGTTCAGTTCCAGCTCTAGGTGCTGGATAACATTCTTGAGACTCTTGTTTTTGTCTTTCTCCTTCTCGTACTTTTTCTTCCACTCCTCCGCGGTCAGCTCCAGATTCACAGAGACCGTGTTCTTAATCGTCTTAGCTCTGCACAACAAAACCAGGTGTCAGGTGCTCCACGACTTTTACCTCAAAACAACAGTGAGGATTTTGAAATTTTTCCACAACACAAAGGGAAACTACTAAATATTTGCAATTTATTTTCTAGAGTGCAATGCCACAATCCCACTTTGCTCTCAAACCCTCGGTACCATTGTGACCTGGAAGCCTCAACAGAAACTTTTCTATATCAAAATCCAGCAGCCAGTGACCTGGAGCAGACATGGATCTACCTCTTCAGATTCATAGAATCACAGAATCCCAGACTGGTTTGGGTTGGGAGGGACCTTAAAGCTCATCCAGTTCCAACCCCCCTGCCAGCAGCAGGGACACCTTCCACTAGACCAGGTTGCTCAAAGCCTCATCCAGCCTGGCCTTCCACACTTCCAGGGAGGAGCAGCCACAACTTCCTTGGGCAACCTGGGACACTGTCTCACCACCCTCACAGTGAAGAACTTCTTTCTAATATCTCATCTAAATCCCCCCTCTTCCAGTTTATAACCAGCCCCCCTTGTTCTGTCACTCCCTGCCCTTGGCCAAAGTCCCTTCCCAGCCTTCCTGGAGCCCCTTCAGGTCCTGGAAGACCACAAGAAATTCTCCCCACAAAAAAAGAATTCCTCCAAAAAGAGAAGCTCTGGAAACTGTTTGTGGATTAAGGCCAAAACCAAATTCTGCCATTATTGCTCTGCTAGGTAACTTGTCACCTCACAGCTTCTCCTGGCCTGGGACCCACCACAGAGTACCCCACACCAATATCTGACCATGGGCTCACCCCATTTCTCAACAATCACTCCTTCAACTCCACCAGCAAAACTCAGCCATAGTTCAGGCATCACAACATGAAGGAAGTCAACAGAGTGAAGCAGAGATATGGAAACTTAGAATCATAGAATCACAGAGCCATTTAGGTTGGAAAAGACCCTTAAGATCATCAAACTCAACCATTGAAATAGGAAATAGCATGTGAAGTGAAGGAAAACTTAGGGTTAGATGGTTTGTCCTGAAGGAGAAGTGAACAGAGAAAGAATAATAAGCATTTAGGATTTCTGGAAAACCAAATAAAGAAATAACAAATAAATAAAATAAGAGCTGTGATATGAAGGAGTTTTAATGTATTTGCAAATTTGGAGTGTTAACCTATGACAGAAAACTAGAAAACCTAGTAGTTGTATACTAAAAGGTAGAAGAAAAAAAAATATGGTAATTATAATCTTAATAGCATTACTCAAGGCTTAAAGAGAGTTTTGAAGAAAAGACAAAATTAAAACCAAAAAAGTCAATTGAAAATATGACAAAACCACAGATTACCTAAAATATATTCTTGAGAGCCAAACAGTGCTTTCAAATAGATTTTTGGGGGTGGAAGGAAGGGAAGGAGGAGAACCGCTGGTCCCCACCAGGTAACCAGTTCACTGCTGGGCTGAGGAAGGCTCTCAGTGGGAAGGGCGCCTGAACTCCTGCCTGTACCACTGCAGGCAGCTCACGAGCTCCTGCCTCTCTGGACAAAAATATCACAAAGTTTAAACCCTTCTAACAACAACCACCACCACTTGGTTATTGTGAAAGTGCTTAGCTCCAACTGAACCTAAACAATTGCACTAGAAAATGCAAAGCAAGCAGAAAAAAAATTTAAAAAGCACAGCATCTACTCTAGCAAATCCACATTTAAAAGAAAAAAACCCAAACAAATCAGCACAAATTAAGAAAGCTTCAGATCTTTGCCCTTCACTGCTCAGACACTCCAAATGACTCCAGTGTTAATGAATAAAATAGAGGCCAAGAAAAGGAACAACAAACCTCCTCCAGGTTTGTAAAGTGTAGGCTGAAATGTCCGTGCAAGAAACTACACCGAGGATGGGCCATAGATACATGGGCTAACATGATCTTCATTATTTTCTTCACAGCTCCAGTTACTGATTCTAAAGCACAGAATCATAGAATGGTTTGGATTGGAAGGGATCTTAAAGATCATCCAGTCCCAACCCCCCTGCCAGCAGCAGGGACACCTTCCACTAGACCAGGTTGCTCAAAGCCTCATCCAACCTGGCCTTCAACACTTCCAGGGAGGGGGCATCCACAACTTCCTTAGGCAACCTGTTCCAGTGTCTGACCACCCTCACAGTGAAGAACTTCTTCCTAATATCTCATCTAAACCTCCCCTCTTTCAGCTTAAACCCATTTCCCCTTGTTTTGTCATTAACTGCCCTTATGAAAAGTCCCTCCCCACCTTCCTGTAGCCCCTTCAGGTACTGGGAGGCCGCTATAAGGTCTCCCCGGAGCCTTCTCTTCTCCAGGCTGAACAGCCCCAACTCTCCCAGCCTGTCCTCATAGGAGAGGTGCTCCAGCCCTCGCATCATCCTGGTGGCATCCTTTAAATGTCACCAATCAGTAGAGATTCTGAAAGTTTCTTTTGTCAGCAAGAAAACACTCCCATATCTGCGTCTCACACTCCAAAGTACGCTCCAGTGATTTGCACTACATGACAAGCAGGACTTTTAATAACTTAGAACCATTTTTAAATAACCCCCTACTTTTAAAATACGCAGACACCTAATGGTTAAGCTTTTACATATTGTCTCTGCCAAAAGCATGGCTCAAGTTTCCACTCATTTAAACAGTACTAGGTGAAAAAAAATGCCACACCATAAAGTTTATCGACTGTGTTATGCTAATGGTGGATGAAGTAGTTACTAGCAACTAAAATTAAAAACAATAGAAAAGCACAAGAAAAGATGGGGCAGAAAGAGAAGAAACCAACTGACTGCTAACAGAGGAGCACAAGTGGGCCTGTGAAGATGAATTTTACTCCTAACGCTTGTTTTAATGGTGAGATAATTCTTTCTGGCTAGGAAAGACAGAGGAACCAGTAATCACCCATGACTCATACACCTTCTCTTTCATGTTTTGCAGGCCCTTAATATTGTCACATCAGAAAAACGAAACACCACAACCAAAGAGCCTGTAAAGGAAACAATTTCCCGTAGATAACAATACTCCTACCCAAAATGCTGACAAATAACTCTCTGCATGCACAGCATGTGTGCTGCTCGGCAGGTCTAGCACATCACCAGTCCTCTGACTCGTATTTCTTTCTGAAAATTGAATGTCCTACCCCAGAGAAACCAGGACACTGCACCAACCTGCAACTCTCCACCAAGAGGGACTGCACCCAACTGCATCTGTTTGTCCTGTACTTTTATATGAATCAGAATCATAGAATGGTTAGGATTGGAAGGGACTTAAAGATCATCTTCACTAAAGGGATCACCTTCCCTCACTAACATCTAAGGAAAGCTCACATTAAAGGATAGAAGTGGGGCAATGAACTAAGAGAAGATTGTTAGATTAATTTTTTATGTATTATTTTACTTTCCAATATAAAATGCTCCTTAACAGTATGGGCTCCAATGCAAAAATTATACACAGTGGAAAACAATCCATTTTCAGACAAGGACAAATTTATCCTATTGTACAAACTGTTAAATAGATTATATCTCAAAAAAAAATCATAACTTGCTAGTATTTTTTTCTTCCTGCTATTACACAAATAAACATACATGAAACAAAGTGAGCAATTTTCCAAAGGATCAGAGTTCTCCTCAATTACAACAAAAGCAGTAATTACATAATGAGCTTGATCTATTGTTGTAAACTTTCCAAATGTATTTTACATGACTATTGCCAATGAACACATATGGAAAATAAATTTTCCCTCTGAATGCTTCCACATTTATTTTATCCTTGCTTGTTTCTGAGGATTTGTTCCTAAATTGTTAAGATCCTTCAATCATATAAAAATGTCTGTGAGCTATCATGGTAATCTATCAAAGTTGTCAATATTACACTGTGTCCATATTCTTCATTTTTCTTAACAGTTAAAAAATATTTTTTACAATGCTAACAATAATCCCTGAGATGCCATTCAAGAAGAAGATAAATTGTAAAAGCATCAAGAGCGGTATCAGATAAAGCAAATCTGAACGTTTTCCACTGAGTTAGCCAACAGAAAACTGCCCAATTCCATTATCTTCCCCATCAAATTTCAAAGAATTACTCTAACACTTTGTACTTTCTACAGGAAAAAATACCAGAGCTTCTAAGTAGTGCAGGTGCTGGCCAACATTAACATTTATTTTTTGGGGTACCACAGGGAATGAAGAAACAGTTTTCTCAAGTTCTCCAGTACTGTTTTTGAACAACTCCAGAAACCATAACCTCCACATTTTAAAATTCCTGCTCATCTTGCTCCCCTCAGCATGGCTGGCTCAGAACATGTGGAAGAGCCCAAGGAAGTGTCATCCAGCCTAATGCTGAGTAGGACTCACCGCTGCCCGAACATCAGGGTTGACTTTGTTTCTGCTTCATTGAACACAGAAGGAGAACAGCATATCACGATGGTGGTTCTGCAGTTCCCACCCAGGGAATCCTGAAGTATTCGGGTCATTTTGCTGTCTCGGTATGGAACATGGGTTTTCTAATCAAAATATAAATAAAAGACAAGAACATTTAATTTTTTTTTTAAATAATGGTATCATAATGAGAGAGAACATGAGTCAACAACGGCAGGCTTAATGGATTGGAAGCGTACAACCCTAAAGAGGAATTGGTTTTGATTGTGCTAAGATTGGATAATCACTCAAGTGAAATCACTGAGAATTAGATTCTCATCTTCAGCAGAATAGCAACAGTGTCACTGGTTTGTGGTTGGAAAGCTAATATTTTCTTCTTTCTGAATTGAAATGTTAGCTGATTTTTTTTTTATGTGCATGGCAAAGAAACAGAGAGATAAAAAGCCATTCTTCAACAACAGAAAACAGGATTACTTACAGTTCCTTCTGCCAAGGCAGATATCACATTGCCTAAAGCAGACAAAGACTTATTGATATTTTTAGCTTCATCAAGAACAGCTCCCTCCGCTCCAGTTTTGCTGACCTACCAAAGAGAGAAGGCAACAGTCAGGCTCAGCCATCAGCCTCCGTACAAATACAGCCACAATGCACAGAGTGCAACAGTTACAGATGCTCTTGGAAGAAAAACACAAAGGAGGAGAATTTTATATGCACTTTTTTGGCAGTGGAAGCCTGCAATGCTTCCACCTTCCTTCCAGTGTAAGAGCAAGCTGACTGTTACTTTGTTCAGGGAAAAGTCTGTGCTCTCTTGGGGACACTTGGGGACCACTTCCAAGATCAGACTGTCCCTACTGACAGAGACCACAGGTATATTCTCAGGGCACACTCAGTGGCACAGCATATGCAACCAAACAAGTATTTTGGCTTTGTATTTTGCTGGCATGGATCAAGAATATCAGGACAGAAGAAGCATAATCTCACTCATCCTGAATGCAAGGTTTGCTGGGCCACAAAACAGATCCCAAGGTGGCCCAAGCGAGAAGCTTGGTGGCCTGGGACCAGCACTCCTTTAAACAACAACACAGTTTTATAGAATTTTCTCTTTTTTTGGGAGTTGAGTTGGGTGGGAGAAGGCACAGAAATGTAGGATAAAGCCAAATACTCTTCTTTTTATTAAAACTACAGTCTCTGTACCTTCATCTAAAAATGAATGCCATGACATAGATGGAAGCATAATTTATAGGATCATAGAATCACAGAATGGTTTGGATTGGAAGGGACCTTAAAGCTCATCCAGTCCCAACCCCCCTGCCAGCAGCAGGGACACCTTCCACTAGACCAGGTTGCTCAAAGCCTCATCCAGCCTGGCCTTCAACACTTCCAGGGAGGAGCAGCCACAACTTCTCTGGGCAACCTGTTCCAGTGTCTCACCACCCTCACAGTGAAGAACTTCTTCCTTAATATCTAATCTAAACCTCCCCTCTTTCAGTTTAGAGCCATTTCCCCTTGTTCTGTCATTAACTGCCCTTGCAAAAAGTCCCTCCCCATTGTATCTTCTAAGACAATCTACCAAGAAAACTCTTACTTCAGGTTTTCCATATAATGTCCAAACAAACATAATGAACCACAGAAGTGCAGTTTACAGAGCAGAGAAGAGCCTGACTGGGCACTCATTTCCTAAACACCACTAAGAGGTTTTCATTTAACATTTAGTATTATATGTAATAATAGAGATTAACGTGATTAATTACTGTGATGGATACTGATGGGTTATCAACTAGTGTGTCCCAATGAGCATCCTCAAAGCTGTGAAGCCTATCAAACAAAATCTTTTCTTTTACTTCTCATTTTCAGAAAGAAATAGAAATCTGTGACCACAATGAAAGACATTGCTTGATCATGAGTAATTATTTTGACGTGCACAGTAGTTAGCAAGGATCCAGCCTGAATAAAGAATTCCATAGCACTGCAAAATAATGAGGTTTATAATTTATTTGTTTCATTTACAGTTAAGCAATTTTCAACACTCCAGAAAATGTCAGAAGGAGAACTGGGAAACAATGCCATTTTTCCACTGCAGTACTGTTCTAGACCATTACTCTTTTGGTAGATGGATATAAGTTCTTTTCTGCTTAGTATTTTTCTATATTGTAAAGCAGAAATAGTCATCACAATCAAAGAGTCATTCGGGGAGTTTCAAATAGACTTCAGCTGTATAACTGCATTAACTGATGTTATTTCATTGATCTAATATGGGAAATAATTACAGCAAACCTGGAATACGACATGTCTGAATATAAATAAATTCAAATAGTTGTCTAATTTGACAAATTACATAAGTATTGCTTTACTTTCTTCAAATACCCATGACTAAATGTGAAGCTATGTCAAAGCACACTGGTTCAATCCACTTCATTATAAATGAAGATATATCACAGATTTTGGGGTTTTGCATTTCATACAATAGTTCTGATCTGTTCCTTCTCTCCATCCCACATTAAAAAAAAAAAAAGATTGTTATACTAACACTAACCTAAGATAAGTTCTCTGTAAAACAAAGCTTCACATGGTCAGTTTAGTGATCCCACTAACATAATTAGGAAAAAGGAAAGATTACCTTCTCACTTCCAGCCAAGTCGACCAGGTAAAGCTTTCCACTGAGTTTCTTCTCAGTTTCCACATTCTCTTGTTTAATATTAATGAGGAAGATACTATGGCTCCTAGAGCTGTGTTCATTCATATCTACAGAGAAATCATATTGGAAAGGTTTTGTCTAAGTGATTTTAAAACCTGACAAGAAATTATATTTCATCAGAGCTACCCTACAGCTAACAAATTCAAAGTACAAAGCCACTTACTGGAAAGCCCAGACCACTGTGCTGACAGCAGGGACAACACCAAGAGCTGCAAATGAAGCTTGTGGACTACAGAATGAGCTCCTACTTTCTCCCAACATGACCAAATTAAACAGATTAATGGTAAACAACAGCCTTGGGAAAAAAAACACCAACAAATTCTTTCTTTTTTCATTTTTTTTTCCTCCATGAAGCAACAAAATTTGACCACAAATAGTAAAAAAAAATAAAAATAAAAATCATAGTATAAGTATAATAAAATAACATTCCACAGATGCAGTAAGAAACAAAGGTTCTCTCCTTTTGTACTTCTTTATGAGTATAGAGAGCACACAAAAACCCCTCTTTGATATAGAACAATGAGGATGTATGTTCAGCATCTGAGACAGAGGAAGAATTTGGAGCTGAGCAAGAGAATTTAAAGACAATTACAATAAATAATAATTGCAATAAAAAGAAGCTAGTCAGGTCTCAGTGCAATTGAGAAAATAAAAACCAAAACAGTTTAGCAAAAGTTTTCATTAAAAACATAATATTTAAATTCAAATTTCAGAGTGATTTTTATTGCTTATGTAGTTAAAAATCCTCAGTTGCAGGTAAAACAGGCAGCTACAGTTTCGGCTTCCACTTATTCTAAGTTTGATTATAACCATGTTATGTTTGAAGTTTCAAAAAGAAGGAAAAAAAAAAACTATTAAGAAGCAGTAAATCACTTACTCCTGTTTTCTCTATTTTCTCTGTTTCCACAAACCCCACTACCACCTTTCCCCCATTCCCAGCAATGTTTCTATTTCTCTGAACTCCCTTTTTCTCCACCATCTCCAAGCTCAGTTTTTCAATAACACTTCCAAATTTGCTCCTTGCCATTTCAGTCCAGGTAAAATTCATTCTCTGTCAACTTCTATCAGCACTTTTCTGTGTGCACCAAATGCAACAAATAATATTACAGCAAAAGGTGTATGTGGGTATTTTTTGTTAGAGAGAATAGCAGAATCATAGAATGGTTTGGGTTGGAAGGGACCTTAAAGCTCACCCAGTTCCAACCCCCCTGCCAGCAGCAGGGACACCTTCCACTAGACCAGGTTGCTCAAAGCCTCATCCAGCCTGGCCGAGAACACTTCCAGGGAGGAGCAGCCACAGCTTCTCTGGCCAACCTGGGACACTGTCTGACCACCCTCACAGTGAAGAACTTCTTCCTAATATCTCATCTAAACCTCCCCTCTTTCAGTTTAAACCCATTTCCCCTTGTTTTGTCATTAACTGCCCTTATGAAAAGTCCTTCCCCAGCTTTCTTGGAAACAACAGGAGGAAATGTTACTCAGAAAAAAAGCCAAATATATTTCTATTAGTATGATGAGAAAGGCATGGGAAACCTACAGCAATACAGTATTTACCAAAGCAAGGAGGTAGAGACATGGAAGACAAAGTTACCCAGTGCATCATAAAAAATAAAATTAACTTAAAAAAACTAACCAAACAAACAAAAGAAACCAAAACAGCCCAAAAAACCCACCCCTGCCACCAAGATTTGAGTTACAAGCTGACGTCCTGCCAAGATCACTGCTTGGATCAAAGACATCTTAGAGTATAAATTTGGAAAAGGCCCTTTTAATCACCATAAGGTTAGTAGGTTATAACACAATGTCAACAAATTTGGCACAGGCTGAAGCAATTATTATGTTTTTTAATTCAGGAAGATTTGTTTGTTTTGCCATCACTGGAACTCAACTCACAAGAGAGAAACCAGCAGAGTCTGGTGCCTGCTCTGCAGTCTTTGCTGACATTTGATTAATGAACTGCTCTGAGTTCCTGTCTTGTAGCACCAAGAAGAACGTACATACAGAATTTCAGTTATACATAATTTCAAATTATCTCCATTATATGTAACAATACATATTTTAATGTTTTATATAATAATACTATACAGATCACTACACCATAGATTAAATTCAGGAGTTCTCAAAGGTGAAACAGTCAATAAATGTTTCTGTATGCAGTGAAGCAGTAAAAAAGTACAGCTCTATTAATTTTAAAGCATTATAATTTTAATTTGTGAATCATTACATTGTTCACATGAGGAACTCAAAGTACTTTGTGAACATGAAGAATCGATACATCACTAGGAATCTACAACCTCCCCAACTTTTTAGCTAGAAAAGCCTCCACAGAACACTTACTTGTAACGGCTACGTGACGGTTAGCTTTCCCTTCATCAATAACATCCAAAACTTCTTCAGGACTAGATACAAATCTTTCTGTACAACCCTAGACATACACAAGTTGAACACAGAAAAGTTTAGGAAGTGTCCTATTACTCCAAATGCTATCAGGAAGAATATTTAGCACTGATGAACAAAATAATTAGAAGAATCATCACCATCCAACGTGATCGTTAGCAAGGCAATGGACCATAACATGCCTTGGTATGACTTTCAGGAGGATCCACGGGACAGCTTGAGAGACAATTTCCTTTCACAAGATTAAAAACTCAGTCAAATTCAAACATGCAGCAGAAAAGAGTTTCTATACTTAGCACACACCGAATGATGCAGCGTGTATTTTTGTTACCAATTTGGGTAAGATTACATACTCAAATTAGTTTTTCTCTCTCAAACTACAAGAAAAGATGCACAGCCCTTGTTAATGCAATACTACTGAAGGAATTATTTTTGTTTCCCTCCCCAGGATGAGAATAAACAGAACAATATTATACTTATATTATTAAGGCTCACATATGTTCATAACAAGTATACTACATTTAACTGAGGGCTCAGGAAGTCATAAAACAAATTCCTAACCCAACAAATCTGTTCTAAAATACTGTGAGATTACAGCAACTATGCAACAAAGTATTAAAGAACAAAATTCTTCAAGATGTTCTCTTTCATATCCAACATGAAATGGGAATATGAATACTTAAAATTTAACACTATACTAACAAAATGTAAATTTATAACATCAGGAAAATAAAGCAAATGCGATTCAAGCCCATTAATATTTCAGGAAACTGTTTAAACTCAGGGACCAATATTACTTGAACATTCAAGACCTGAGTTAAAGCACCTCAGCAAACACACTGGGATGCAAATGGAAATGCGTAAATAAATGCATATGTCAGAAAGAATGAAAAAATGAGCATCAGATTTTCCTTGTACCTTAACATATGGGACTCTGTTTTTATCTTCATGTACAGCGAGGTTTGTCTTTGACACTAGAAAAAAAGATGGAGATCATTAAGAATATTCCACGGGTAATAACGTGTCAACTAGAGGCTTGACAAATGCATGAATATATTACATTTGTAAATGAGAACTGTAGTCACTTCCCACTCCTTATTAACCACCTCAATTTCTGTGACATAAATCTTGTTTCTTGTTCTGTAAATCTTGTACCTGTTTCTTTAGAGTTAACTTTATGGCACAAGAGCTTTTGTTTATTGCTTGGATTCATAAAATAAACATGGATCCAAGTTGGATTTTGCCAAAGCAGCAAGAATTTAAAAAGAAAAAAGAACTCATTGGAATTCAACTAAACTGAAATACATGTTCGTGGTTTGGTGTTACCCTTAGCACACATTTCTCTGTCTTCAGACTGATTTAACACACACAGTTCACACTTTCATCAACATACAGCACACATATACAGACACACAAATTGTACAAGAGACAGATAAATCCCAACAAACTCTATCTAACAGAATAAGCTGAACCAACTGTATTCTAAATTTAACAAAAGAACCTCAACAGAAAACTATATAAATTTGTAAATTACAGTTTTACTTTCAGAATATACATTGCCAACGAGGTTCAGACATGCCTTGAAGTCTGTAAAATTCTCTGTACTCATTGATTTACAATCAAACTACACAGCACTGCAGAGCGAGGCACACAAGTGAGTCCAGAGATCAAGATCAGATGATTTAAACTGCAACATTATCTGACACAAACCCAGCTTAAATCTAAATACTCTCCAAGAAAGTAACTGTTTTCCCTTAGGCATTGATTCAAAGCACAGTACCAAGCTGAACAGCACTTAAGTCACACAAGAAATGCAGAACTTAACTTACCATCCAGTAGGTCCCTTATTTTGTCCAAATATATCTCAAAGTAGGAAACCTAATTGAGTAATCACAAACATTACAGATTTAAACTCTGGCAATTTAAAAATCTTTGTACCTATATTTCTGTATCTGTCAAAATAAAAAGCACCAAGCTAAAAATAAAATTCACGTCCAACATAGTTTGAATTACATCTTCCATGTGAACATACGTTTTTTTTTTGAGTGATTTACAAATCATTGATCTTCCTCCATTTATCAATGATTCAGGGGGAAAGTATACAAAAAAAACTTCAGGCAAATCTTATATATTTTTTTTTTCACATAGGCAAAATTGACAGATTCAAAAATATTTATCAGAATATATAATTTTTTTTACATAGGCAAAATTGATAGAAAGAAAAATATTAGACAAAATATTTACAGAATCAAATCAAAGCACCTAGGATCATATCAGTACAGCTGCACCACAAGGAAGGTACATTTTAACAGTTGGAGGAGGCTGGAGAATTGATGTTCACCAGCACAAAAGCAGACAGCACCTTCAGTGGTTTAATACACAAGTTACATAAGCAATATATATATATATATAATAACTTTTAAATGAAGCATATGTAAAAGTTCTGTCTTGAATCAAGTCCCAAAGAAGAAACAGAAAATGAGCTTTTCTGTAACAGAGAGACAATTATCCTCAAAAAACCCCCCCAAACAACAACAGAAAAACCTAAGGTGGGGGACAATGAATGAACGACTCTCTAAATAAGAGGGTATTTGACTCACAGAAGCAAAGAGAAATGTGTTAGGGGAGTTGTGTCTAACCATACCCTAAATAATCCTTATCCAGGGATTATTTAGCTAGAACACTAGCTGGCTAAATTCTAGATACCAGTAAACTCTACCTATATAGTACAGTATAATTTTCTCTCATGGGAAAAAATAAATTATATCTCTTTTTTTAGACTGATGAGTTGATCTTCCTAAGTGACAACTGCTATTAAATGTGTGTTGTTTTTGTAAATTTTCTTCACCCGTGTCCCATTTAAAGCCATCCTCTGGACCAGCTCATTTCACCCCGACTCATCTCCTGTGCTGTGTATGATCCCATTAACACACTGCTGAGGGCCAACACATACAGGAGATACCAAGTTCCCCTCCCTGTTCTAAATGGGTCTCTTTTAAAGAGGGAGAGATAAAAAAAAAATGATATTAATTTTCAACATTGGCTTAGTTATTAAAAGAGTGTGACAGTTTGGTTAAATTCCTGCTCCCAGTGCCAGAACATGCATTTCTCTCGGTGACAGCTCGTGGTACCATCACTCACTCACTCACTCACTGCTATTCAGGCAGCTTTTCTGTGAAGATATTCACACATGTCAACTGTGATAGGAAACCACTGAAACAATTCAGTGCTGGAAGAATGTGATTTATAAAGTGATAATCCCTTGCCGGGACAGGAATTTACTGTCTTGTACAAGGGGGTCCCCATCTGTTGGTATCCAAGTGCTACCATGTAAAATAATGATAGCCACAGGAGAGCTTTACAGGTGATGAAAATCAGTGTCACTCCTGTGGAAGCCATTTCTAGGAAAATTCAGATGTGTCTCTTCTTAAGGAGCTCAAGATTTTACAATTAAAATTTCATATATATATATAAAATATTTAGATTCTTTATTTGTACTTTGTACATCTGCTTCTGTCTGTACTTCATCAGCACACCACAAACAGGCATGGCTATTGGAAGGTTCTCAATACGAAATGACCTAGTCCTCTCAGAAGATCAGGAACTGTTTCAGAGGTATTCTGATAGATTATTGGGGAAAAAAATGTGTGTGTGTGTGTGTGTGTGTGTGTGTATATATATATATAAAAAAATATAAAAATGTATATATTAAATTGGATAAATATAAAATTATATATAAATTAGATATACTGGATATATATAAAATTACATTAAAAATTGTAGATAGCTAGCTAGCTAGCTAGCTAGATAGATAGATAGATAGATAGATATCTCCCCAGAAATGCTTCAAGGGCTTTAATACAAGCAGCACTAAGAAGTCACTCATCTCCAGCTTTTAGGCACAAGGGGGACAGAGGAGGAGAGCTCCATTCTCAGAGAACATCCCCTGGTCACAGCAGGAGAAGGGACAGAGTTTTCACACTCTACCTGTGCTCAGCTACTTCACTTTACGGAAGCTGTCCAGGTATATTTTGTATGTTTAAGGGGAGATGACACAGAGGACTACTCATCCTTCCTGCAATCCATAGGGTAATTTTACTGGTGTCCACTTAGAAGAAAGCTATAGCCTGACCCCAACTCTGCCAGACAGATGGATTCCCCACCATGGCTGGCAGCTCCCCAGGAGATCGGATGAACAGTAGGAATTAAGGGTCACTCAGAAACATTTGAGAGATCATATGGTTGGGATCATGACAGGGACATGGAAGAACATAGTAGCTGTCCCAATCGAGACTCTGTCCATCATCTCAAGGAGTCCCTACATAATCATTTGAGCTCAAAATTACTTTTAAACATTCTTTCCATTTCAAACCCACATATTGTGGAGGACTGTTTATACTGTTGAAATCAGAATAACAGATCAGTATTCTCTCAAACATCACGCAGATCAATGGTATTTTTGGTCATAACAAGAGGGGCTGAGGTGAGTCTTTGGAGAAGCTGCAGTGAAATA